AAACTTAATTCCTTTAGTTTTTTTCCAAACCCCCCTACCCCCACTGAAACTTAATTGATAAATATTGGTCATGGCGTCAGACTACATTCACCATTAAATACAAATTGATAATCGGACAGTAGTATTGCATAGCAGTGGCTTAGTCTTTTCCACGAAACGAAACGAAACCCAAACCCAAACCCAAACCCAAACCCAAACCCAACCCTAACCCTAACCCTAACCCTAACCCTAACTCGCATTGTTGTTTTCATTGGCCCAATAATATCTGAGAAAATTTCACACTGTGAAATACGGACGTGACGATGTTTGAGGTCGTTCAAAATCTAAGGTTAGGGTTAGGGTTTCGTTTCGTTTCGTTTTATTTTGTTTCATTTCGTTTCGTGGAAAAGACTAAGCCCATAGCAGTTGGTTGTCGGGTGGGTGTAAAAAGACTTTACAAATGCACCTCATTTGACGCACAGATTTTACACTCGAACCAAATCATTTTTTTTTCCCCTTTTCGGTTATTTCTGTCCATGATTGGATAGGAAAAAAAAAAAAAAAAAAAAAAAAAAACTACAGATACTCCAAGATTTTTTTGACTTCATTAAAAAATTAAATCGTTTTTGTAGGATGGAAACTTTTTGAGGTCAAAACCCCCCACCCCTAAACTAAAGGAAATAAGTTTTTTATCCGACATCGATCTTTTGACCTCGTCCCTAACAGCCATTTTAATTATGAGCATTAGCAAACTTCTAACTGAGTGAATTGTTATTCAAATTAGCAATTATCTCAGCTTCTTTTTAGTGCACATTCCAGAACTTTAAAAAAAATAGCTCCTAGACGCTTTGACCTTTTGTTTTGAAATTTTCACAAATGATTGACAATGTGTTTATCTTCAAAATGCCGTTTTTTAGTTGAATAGTGTTACAGCAATCGTACAAACAACTAAGGTGGTGTGGGTCACGACGTCACTTCCGGTTTACTTCCTGCTTTGCGTGTATAATGGCGGCCTCGAGCAGAGTTTTGTCACGAGAGCATTAAGTCTGTTTAGTTGGTGCTACTGTAAAGGTAAACCTTTTCATAATTTTTTTTCGTATAATTTCTGGAAGAATATATAGCTAGCTGCCACATCCCGATGTGAAACTCGTTTTATACTTTCATAACTGTGTTTTTTTGCCAATGCCATTTTCAAAATGTAAATAGCCATTTCACGCGAATGGCAGTATTTACCAAATCACCACTGTTCGTTTAATAGCCGTTTACGAAAAAAGTAACCGCTTTTCATGTTATTTTTTGACATTTCTGTTGTCTTTAGTATACTTGCTGTCCAAAAATGCGAAGGCCCCCAAAGGCGCCCCTTTTTAATTCGGTGTTTACGCTCATTTTTTGAGGCCTATTGTTGGAGGACATTACAATATTGACCTGCACGCAAAATAAGAGATAGCTCCGACAAATTAATTATAAATGATCATTTTTTTTATAGAATCATGTCGATACCGCGTGAGTCTAACACGCCGACGCCTAGGAAGCTGAAAAGAAGTAAGGTGTCTGTACACCTATCTGGTAAAAAGTGATATTTTCAACTCGTTGAAAACCGCAAGTCTGGTAGCTTAGATATTATATATACACATGTATATATAGCGGTACTACATGTGGACCTCTCTCAGATTTGTTCATTTCGTGATGATATCTTTGATTGTCTAATTTTGATGATTATTTTTGTAATTTGTTGAAAACTGCAAGTGTGATTGCTTTGATACCATGCATATTATTCATTTTTCTAATTGATATCTTTAATTGAAATGTGCATTGCTAACAGTGTAGCTGTGTCAGCCGAGAGGCTGCTTGTTGTATTTTTAAAACATCACTACCTGCGGCCCTGGAAAATTAGGGCATATTCGTGAAAACATGTAGTTATATTTTTTTTGTAAAGTCTATTTATGTATACAGGAGACATTAAACATAATGTATCATTTCATTTAAAACATTTGCACGAGTGATATTTTAATCAAATATTCATTAATCCTTTCACCACCACTCAAACAATAGTCAGCAAGTTGGGTACACTTCCAGGAATATTAAAAGAGGTGTTCGAGGTGTAACTTATCCCAGACTCTTAAGTTGGGTTTTGTGGGTGCAACTGAACTGCACAACCAGAAAATTTGATATACAGTACAATTGACAACCTGTTGTATTCATCACAAATCAGGTATGGGGGAAATTGTTTCATTTTGTCAACACATGAAACTTGCAAAACCAGGCTTTTGAATAGGAAACCACTGGTTTTGTGATTAGTGCATTGAAAAAATAAAATTATAGTATAGGACTAGGTTTTTCACTCATCTGTGAAAAGTCAACAAATATTAACACAAACGAATGTTAGCAAAATTTGTTTAATAAAAGATATAAAAGCAAATTATTGCAAAAAGATTTATTTATACAATATACATAGAAAAGATATGTCAGACTTTTTCCAAAGTACCTCTGCCTCCCACTGACTGCCAGTTCGTGTTATACGTATTTTGGCATAAAAACCAATAATTAGCCAGGTAGTTCAGAACTTTATATTATCTACAACAACATCAGTTATATTATTGGATTTAAAAAGAGGGTGTACATATGTTGTCAATTCTTGGTCTAAATAACCTAGTTCTGCAAAACCAAACATCAAAATCTAAAGAAATGGCTTGAACATCGGGTCTGGTCTTAAACGTACTGGTATTGTGTTGCCAGTATCAATTTTCTTATAACCCAGGAATACCCAGAAACCGTGACTTTAAAGAACAGTGCATCAGTGCATGTATTGTTAGGCCCTGGTTATCATCTGATAACGTCAAATCAGAAAAGTCGCTAAATAGAGAGTGATTGTAATCTGAAGATACATTGCTAAGAGAGCGACGCCAGGTCAGAAACTTCACCCCTGAAGTCCCACTTCCAAAAAAGACCACATTCCTTATTGTCAACAAGAAACAGACAGTGTTCAGAGCAGGTTATCTTCATGTCATTTGACAATAACAATCTGTGGTCTGACGTTTGTATTACTCCATCTTCACGGTTTGCACATTTATCGTTATCTGTTGTAAACCTTTCTTTTGTTAGGTTCAATTTGATGACTTTGCAACATGGAATTGTCCATGTAATACTCTCACTGACTTCCAGAACGGTTACGGCAAATTCTGTAAATTCCTATAATAAAAATAAAATAAAAAAAATCACTTAATTTTATCAAAGAGATGGGGTGTTGATTGCAGAGTTGTAGTAGGTCAACGCCCCTTTAATTGTGTCTAATACCCAGTAGTAAATCCTGTTTTACTGTCAAGGTCTGAATGATTCACACAATGCAAATTACTGACCAAGATATGTATTTACAATTCCTTACCTTGTTGTACATAGCAGGTGGTTTATAAGCATTTATTGTCAATAAAGTTCTTGTTGATAGGTTGCCCAGAGTCGGATTAAATGCTGCATTTTGAAGTAACACTATGTGTTGAGTTAAGAAATCAATATACTGATAAATTATTTTGTACTTTAACAACTATGAAGAACACTACAGTGCTATCGATACTTTGACAACATTTCTCATTTGGATTGTGCCCAGAGTGGGAGTATGGATTAACGTAAAGCAACTATACTGTCAAGAGGACACACCTTGAAGTATGCACATAATAAACTTGTATTAATTTGCGATGCTCAGAATCAAGTAAAATGGCAGTATTTATTGTTTTCAGGTTACAACCTTTATTTTTACATATTTAAACATGGTAGGCTATAGTTTACCTGTGAAACACTGCAAAATTGCAGCTAAACAGTTATTTATGGGCTTATTGTTCTTTATGTCCAGTTGAGTCATTATTAAACTGAAAGGATACTCTCCAGCATAGTGCACGTCAGGGTGAGAGGAATCATTATCATATGGATTTAAGATGTTCCTGGTCTTCATATCAAACACTAGATGATATTTGAATGTGTTCAGTTTTCCTAAAATCAGCTATGTAAGTGTCGGGATAGCCACATTTCAATTCAGATAGAACCCTGTCCTTGGAATAGCCTAGAAAATAAATAGAAGATGTTAAATTAAAACATAACAGTTAATTTTCAACTGTTTAGTTCAAAACTGCTACAATTAATTTTATCAACTGATACAACTTATAAATTCTGTAGTTGGATTATACCAAAATGCATTCTATTTCACCAGGTATAAAAATTAATTTAATACATTGCATAGCTCAATCTAAAACATTTTAGTTTTTTACATTTTGCCTTATAAATGTCTTTAATTCTAATTCAATTGCTCGTTTTATGCCAATCCCAGGAATTGATGGTTGACAATATACAGATTTTTATAAACTTGGTAAATTGAAAGATTGAAACATTTCTGTAAATTTTCAGATTCCACTAAACGAGCTGTTTAAAACTATAGAGGGCGTCTACAAAGTACCTGGGTATGACAGTTGACAATACATTTAATTGGAAAGAACACGTAGAACAAATTTGTAAAACTATTTCACCTAAATTTGGTATTATGTCTAAAATTTGTGATTTTGTCCCACGATCTACTCTTTTGTTGCTTTACAACTCTCTCATTTTACCAAATATTACTTACTGTATTGAAATATGGGGTAATTAGTAACATCAGTATTATGGGGCCACAGACTAGACTAGTTTGTATGAACTATAGCTGTGGTCCTCACTAGAATTACTACTATTATTATTATTATTGTGTATATTATTTATTGTATATTTTCTGGTAAAAAATAAAAACAACAATCATGCATAATATTACCTATCTGTTGGCATGTCAATCACTAGCTCTCTGGCACAACCACAACATCCTTTATTTCGAATAACGTATGCATCTAGTGCAAGTGTTTTTCCTTGCAGTCTAACTGGCCTAGTAGTGCAAAGTAATTCACCACATAGATTTTTAATTCCCATAACTGATCTGAAAACCATATATTTGATATCAATATTCAATGCAGACGGTTGCCGATATCCAGCCACAACAACCTTCTAAATTAGTGCGCAAATGTAAATGATGATCGGTGGCGTTGGTAAAAACAACGATACTATACTACATATAAATACAAACGTCACTAAATATGGAAAAACGAAAACTTACCATTAATAAAAATGAAGGATGCAGTCAAAATTGGACGAAAACTGAGAAGAACGCACCTGAACAAGCAAAGCGAAGTAAACGCAGCGATGTGTACACAATGGCTGCCGCAAGTGAAATGAACCGATCACGCTTTTTGTTCCCATGATGCTTTGCGATGTGACTCACACCACCTTCAAACAACTAGTCTGGGTCAGAGGCCAGACTTTTATTATCCCTTGTATCGCGAACCCGCCGAATGAACAGGAGCCGAAAATGAAATAAAAATATAATTTTATTTCAGCGTAATTTCTCGCGCCCGCCGACTTGTAAGCGCGAAAAAATGCTAAAAAAATATTATTTTTATCTTCATTTTTTTTTACCGCCCGCCGCATAACAAATCCAAGTTGCATTTTCGTGGCAGTATCATGATCAAAGTACCGAAGTCTCACGCAGATGAGAAACAAGGTTATACATGGAATACAATTTTATTTCATTTCTTCTCTCCGATCAATGATCTCACTTACAATTCTTTGAGAATCACACAAATCTGATGGAAAAAAAGAATTAATTTTATTTTTTTCCTGCCTTCCTCAAAAAAATTGCCTTATAAAAACTCGCGAAACAAGGAATAAAAAAAGTCTGGCCTAATTTATGCATAAACTTGAAATAGTGAAATTTGAGCTGCTGCCCTACAAAATTGACAACTGGTAGACAGCTTTCAAGACGGCACTTTCTTCATAGTAAACAGATGTACTCATAAACCAATTTTGACAGGAAACAGAAGCATGGTTTAGAAGCTATTTTTTTTTAAATCACTTTTGACCAAAAAAGCACATTTTTGTGCATATTTCAAACCACAGTGTCCATAAAAATAAAATACTAACAAAACTTTAAAATTCATACAATAAGCTTTCCGAAAATATATAGTTTTGTGGACAAGGGAGGTCATCTTGGTTTCCTAATTAACTAATTAAAATACCTGTCAGTTAAACTGCATCTCTACCTTAAGGAACTCGAGAATAGGGTAAAATGTCAAATTTCAAATGTTGAAAACGGTAAACAGGTTTTTGCTGTTTTATTTATTTGTAAACAAAATACAATGGTAATAATTCCGGTGTGGACCATGGAAATAGTCCTTATGGACTAGTCCAGTCCATGGCCCAGACTGCAAAGTAGAAATTGACAAAGTACTAGTAAAAGGAAAAAAAATTACTATTTACATAACGAAAATTAATCTATAAGATTTAGATATAAATATGACGAAAATATTATGTGTAATAATAATATAAATGTACTACTGGTACAACGAATTTATATGCAGAAGAAAAGAAAAAAAATGCATAGAAGTTAGAAGTAATCAAGGAATTTAACAAATCAAATAGTGTTTTTTATTTCATATTTAGGTATTTGTTTCTGTTGTTGATATTTTTTAGAGAGTCTGGAAGTGAATTCCAGTGTTTTACTGCAGCAAATTTAAAATTATGTTGTGAAACTGTAAATTTAGCAACAGGAATTGACCTCATATGTACCAAACAATGGAAATGCACTACCCAAAATAAACACTATTAATCATTGCTGACATGTTGATTATCAGTGATTGATAACTTACTTTGGACTTTAGTAAGTTGTCTAGACGGTTGTGTAACTGTAGTATCTAGGTGTCAGTAATTGCCTACCAGGTACAGGGATTAGGTGTATGTAAATATCTTGCCCCTGCTGTAATTGCCTCGACTGAAGCCAGTAATAACATGAGAACAAATAACATGAAGCAAATCATTTATTTTGTAATAATATTATTGGTAATGTATCTCCCAAATCCATGGGAATACTAGACTAAGTTTCAAAACCAACTCTTGGTATGAGTTATTGCACAGTCTGATACACATTTGCAAACCTACTAATAAAATCTTTACAGAAAACAAGAAAATCAATATAAACACTCCTATGAATTGGGTGCCAAACTTTTGATCAAGATCTGAAATAGACTTGCTTGCAGTCTGTTGCGATTCCGATGAAACATTCTTGAAAAATAAATATAAATTGCAAAATCCCAACAGACTTGCCATCAGTGTAAGCGCCCTCACATTACCGGCCAGATTCGGGCTAGTGATGATTGACGTGTCTAATAT